TCATTACCCGCAAATCGAACTTATAACCCTAAACCCTAAACCCAAAACCCAAAACCCTAAACCCAAAACCCAAAACCCTCACCCTAAACCCTAGACCCTAAACCCTCAACCCTGGAACCTAAACCCCCAAACCCTAAACCCTAGAACCCTAAGGGATCTCCCGCCTGAGCCGTGGCGGCATCCTCGCATGGATCGGGGGATTGCCGAGGATTTGGGGCTCCAGCGCTTCGGAGTTTTTTTGGGTTTCCAGGGTTAGGGTTTAGGGTTTAGGGTTTAGGGTTCAGGGTTCAGGGTTTAGGGTTTAGGGTTTAGGGTTTAGGGTTTAGGGCTTTTTTGGGGCTGTAGGGCTTGAGGGTCGTGTATTAGGATGGTGCGGAATTCTTGCTTGCAGGTGTGGGGGTTTCGAGTTGAGGAGTTGAATCTAGAAAGTCCCAGGTGTAAGGGTCACAGAATCACATGTTTTAGCCCCAAAGCCCACTGGAGTTTGGCTTACGCAGAACACATCCCGCCATCTCTGAGACGCCAAAAAACTCCCCTAAGCTTTGGGTGTGCATCTGCGTAGTCTGTCTGAAAGAGCTGAGTGTCTGTACCCTTCTGTGTAGCGAAGCAGTTCCGACGGCAAGGAAGCACAGTTTGGGGTTGTATGAAGGCTGGGGTTCAGGGTATGGGCGCCCGAACTACCCCCCTGAGTCATATGCCCCTCTCGGAAGCCATCAAGATCCAAGCCGTTCCATACAACGATACGATACGAAGGGGAAATCCGCGACAGGGAGCCTTGAATTCTAGCCGGCTGGTAGAAGGGTTTCTGTTGTGAAAACTTCCGTGCTCAAGGCGTTTGGAGTTTCAAGGTTACGGGTTCAGGTAGCTTAGGTGGTGATGATTCTATTCCACTGAGGCCATGAAGTCAACCACCCTTAACAACCATGTACCCATATAGTAGATACTTTGGCCCCAAAGTACCCAAATAGGGACTACTTTAAGGCCAAAGTATATACTATTTAGGTACATGGACCCTCAGGGTTACGGCCTTGGGCCCGAAAATGTACGAAGGGAGCTTTCGGCTGTTGTCAGCATGGCAGAAGTGTCCAGCAACCAACTTGCATTCAACAGCTTCACAGAACCCGAAACCCTAAACCCTAAATCCTAAACCCCAAACCCTGAACCCTAAACCCTAAGTTTTCTAAATTATGGGTCGCTTTTTAAGTCCCCAATATAGTACGGCACCCTTATAAAAAGGACCCCCAAAGGGACTCTAATTTAGAAAACTACCCACATCCGCCCAACCCTGAAGCTTCAACTCTCCCATACCCTAAACCCCACACCAGAGACAGCCTCCAGCCTCAGACCCAAGAGACCCAAGTGACACCGAAATCCTACGCCTAAAGACAACCTGAAGATAGCAAGACAAAGCATAAACCCTTCCGCCCTCAGGTAAACACCGGTGAAATGGAAAGTTGCGCCTTGCCATCCTTGGCAGCGCGATGCCACACGGCAAGAGCCTTGGTCGGCAAAGGGCTTGGGGATGACTCTGCATTCTGAGAACATCGTCTTACTTGCCGGAGTTGTTGTTTCGGCACTCGTATTGTGGGCCTTAATACTTAGAATGAAGTACTATGGGTATCTTATACTGTTCCTACGGCACGGAATCCTGACGAATAGCATTACACTGATCAATCATGTTGTGCTGATTCACCGTGCAGACTTGGGTCATATTCATTTGCATGTCGGGCTCGCTTTTGTATCCTCAACTCTGGAAGAAAGGTATCAATGTGCGGGAAGCACGGCACACTCAGCTTGCTCATGACGCATTGTTGCAACATCGATGCTGACGATGTCCTCAGTATGCACCAGCTTTGCGATGCAAGAGAACCCTAAACCCCAAACCCTTGACTGTAGGCATAGTCTTGGCAGCTGTTTCCAAGCGAGTTGTAACGCCTCTCAAACCGTGTACTGTCCTTCATCAGACTTGCAAGCGTCGGCCCTTGACCTTTATGATAGCGGCCAACCCGTGCGAGACGCGAGACCCTGGTTCTTGCAGATTCAGGATAAGTTTTCCACCACACGTTTCCGAATCCATCGATCTCGGTCCGGACAATCTTCCCTTTCTTGACATTGTGGTCAACGAAATAATGACCGGATTGTTGATATATGCGGCTCTGGGTGACCCGGCGGTTGTCATTGGGGCTGACACGTTCACCAAAGTACTCGTCAATGACATAATGGCCAGAGCATCCACAGTCACCCCAACCAGTGCATGCCTGACTCTTCGCGTAATGCTGGCAGTTATCTGTTAGCAAGTGGTACGTACCCTCGTATGAGCGGCTGGCAGCCAACAACTGTTCAAGCGTCGGCCCTTTACCAGCTAGCACCCGGTGGTCTCTGTACTCCGTCGCATGCACATGCCTGGAGTTTGCCCGTCTCGAAGTGTCAGGACAATCTTTCCACAGAATGCGTCCGTTGCCGTCCGTCTCGGTGTCGAACACTGCTCCTGGACTCCAGTGTGTGGTCAACGAAGTGATGACACCCCTGTCCATAAATGGGGGTTTCCGAAAATTAGGGTACCTTATTTTGGGGTCCTTATAATAAGGATCCTATTATTTAGGGTACTATATTAGGGTCCCCTATTTTCGGAAGCTCCCAAATAGTACTCTGCACAACATGATGGGCATGCAATGCACGGAGTTGACCGGCGGCATACTCCTCGTCGTTCTTGCTACACACATATGAATGCTCACATGATCACCTGCACAGTGACATAACGATGCTCTTCTGGTGAGAAGATCCCATGGCTTCCAACACCAGCGTTCTGCCCAAGATACCAGACTACGCTTTAGGTTCTGAGGACTCCTCTTTTAAGGCATTTGGGCCCCAAGACCATACCATATAAGGCTTTTGGGCTACTTTGAGCCTTGGGGTACTAGACGTGACTTCCTACACGATTCGACATGATCGTACATGCAATGGCCTGCATGTAAACAACTGAAAAACTGATAGAGCTCAGACGCAACAGGCACATCGACGAGATGGTTTCCACATGCTTCCACCAAGAACACTTGAATACATGTCTAATACGGATAAAGCGGAGTGGGCATGAGTGACAGGCTTTTGCAGTCTGTGCAAGAGACATCCCCTTGGTGAAAAGGTGCTAGAATACGTGAAAGTCAGTGAAAATAGCGATGCCAACAAACCTCGTGCAAACACCGTGAACTAAAGCTGACACACCGGTGACACTTTAACGGAGCGGAGAACCAATGGACATACGCGAGAACCAGCACCTGAACACTGATCAGATTAGCATGTCAGTTGGTCTACATGAGTATGACAATCGAATTGAAGACAAGGGACGCTACTGCACATGGAGCAAAAAGGCTGATCAAGCAATGCAACTGTCGGCGCGGAAGCACAGAATCCCAACGAGCAAAAACGACAATCCAAAGCCAAGTTAGACTTGCCTGGTTCGGGCTCCATGAAACGGTTTTTCACGGGCAGTCTGCTGTCAGGGTTTGCATGGTTGGTGGCCCTCTGTACTATCCTCCAAACCCTATTCAAATTCTTAAGGCCCTCATATTACCTTCTGAGTTGACTGTCGAGTAACATCGCCCACGCAGCGTGTCAGCCGACGACGGCAGAGGGCGGAAACACGCCTCGGAATGGGCTGGGGCTAATCTACATAGGGACATTGGGGGTATGAACACTCGGCAACAATATTCATTTGTACAGCTGATGATATAAGTCGTGCATTATCTTAAGGAGCCTAGACTATGGGAATTAAGGAATACTCCTTATTAAGGGCAATGCTGGATTTATCATCAACCGTATGAACACTCGGCAACAATATTCCTTTATAGTCCCCATATGTCCCTCTACAGCTGCACTATAACAGACCACAACACCTTGTTCTGTTTAGTAAGGCCCACTACATATCGTTACATTACACGTAATGGTCTATGGCTTTGTGGCTCGTACGGTTGAGGACTGCCTGTCGTTTTTGGGGCTTGCCGCAATTTACCAGGTTAGGGGTCTTCTAGGTTTCAAGGCTTTCTGACAGATGGTAGGTACAAGACGATTTGTCCTATCTCCCGACTAAAGGAAACTACAGGTGGGGAGTTTAGGGTATACAAGGCTTCTCTAAGGCTTCTATAAGGTATATAGACCTTCTAAAAGGCTCCTACAAAGGTAACCTGAAAATGTCCTGGACCCGAGCCTTACCCGAAACCCCAGGCCCTAAACCCCAAAACCTTGAAGCTAAACCATAAACCCTAAACCGTAGACCCAAACCGTAAATCCAACCTCCAGTAATTCCGTAAATCCCTAAACCCTAAACCTAAAATCTCTAGATCCTGACCGCAGCAGCATACCGCATCCGACCATGCAACCCTAAGGCCCAAATAGCATATACTTTCGCCTTAATGTAGTCCCCATATGGGTACTTTGGGGCCAAAGTTTGTACTATTTGGGTACATGGACCCTTCTACCCTAAACCCTATAGAAACCTTAAAGGAGCCCTTATAAAGACCTTACCGTAACCCATAAAGGAACCCTATTTGGGTACATGGACCCTTAGGGCTACATCCTGATCCCTGAGCGCCTGCTCCGCCAAGCCCGCAGACGCCAAAGGGCAAGAGCTCGAGCACAACTGTGTTGGCGCCTCGCAGCCTGGTTTGGGGCTTGGGGTTTCTAGGGTTTGGGGCTTAGGGTTTAGGGTCTATAGGGTTTAGGGTATAGGGTCCAGGGTTTCGCGCTTAAGGTTTAGGGTTTTACATTCTAAGGACTCACAGAAGCATGAACTCCGCGGCAACCCCATGGTCGAGTAAATCCTACCCTCTTGGAGATTGAATGATGTACATCTGCCCAGCGGGATTATTCTCCGAGGGATATGGTTGACTGTTTTTCTCTAAATTATGTCCCGTTTTTGCCAAATAGTACGGTGCTCTTATAAAAAAGCCCGAAACAGTGATGCTAATTTAGTGAACTATCTAACTTGTTAACTTAGATAGTCCTCTAGCCGTGAGTCCCCTTCTAAGTCCTTAAACTTGTACTTTAAGAGGACCCCGAAAAGGGACCCTAATGTAGAGAACTTCCTACTTTGCTACTCGACGGCTAGCTGACCCGACATCCCCAACTCAAGGGAATCCCTTCGGCTAGAAGGACTTGTATTTGAAGGCGTTGGGCCCAAAGACCATACCATACAAGGCTTTCTTGGGGCCATAATCCTGTCGTAAGGCTTTAGGGGGTGGGGTTTATAGTTTGCCATTTTGACCCGTAGGGAATGGGTCAGCTGGCTTTTGCAAGGCCTCTGCGGTACGTCGATTCGCTGTGCTGCTCTTTGGCCGTTCGGTCTTACCCATGAGTTTACCAAAGAACGTCCGAAAGGCTACATGTACCTTTATTGTAGATAACTGAAGCCTTACAGGGGTTCCTATATAGCTACCTAGGGCTTAAGATGGCTTAACACTCTACTACTTGGAGGATCATGGAACTATGTCCCCTAGTTGGGGTTATGAGTATAGTTACCTTAGTTATAACCCCTACTTACTAAACTAAGTCCCATGATCCTTTAAGTAGGGTTCCCTAAACCCTAAACCCTAAACCCTACTTACTAAGTCCCATGGTCCTCTAAGTCAGGGCCCCAACACTACAACCCAGGTTAGTTTGGACTTTATGGGCACATGGAGCCCAATATAGTACCCTAAATAGTAGGATCCCAATTATAAGAACCCCAAAATACGGTACCCCAATTTTCGGAAACTGCCATATAGCTACCTAGGGCTTAAGTTGGCTTAACAATCTACTACTTTATAGGCACATGGAGCCTAAACCCTAAACCCTAAACCCTAAACCCTCAACCCCACTTTATGGGCACATGAGCCTTAGGCACGTCTCTTCCCCTGCCCGCTGGAATGGGTCTTTCCAGCGCGCGGTACACTCACGGAAGAAAACTGCCTTGGAGTTTAGGGTTTAGGGTTTAGGGTTTAGGGGCAATTATCTCGTTCCCCTGCTCGAGACGCTGTGGGTGGCAGGATTTAGCCAGCAGCTGCAGTGCCAGGACCTTTTGCCATAGTCCCTAAACGCCCCACCCACCGTGAAACCCAAACCACTGAACTTCGGCTTGCTCCCATTTCTGAACACCAAGCCTGGATCCACCGACAAGGGCTTTCAGGATTTTGGGGCTTCGTGTGTTTCGGGCTTTTGGGATTTAGGGATTTAGGGTTTAGGGTTTAGTGTTTGGGGATTTAGGGATTTAGGGTATAGAGTTTAGGGTCTAGGTTTCTGGTTTAGGGTGATGTAGTAGCTGGCTAGCTAGATAGCTAGGTAGGTACGCAGATAGCTAGGTAGGCGGATGATTAGATATTAAGACAGACAGTGAAGTCGATAGATAGTCAGGAAAAAACGAATCAAATGGAGAGGTCGAAAGCGACCACTCTTATCATGCTACTCACTGCAGTCAAACCCTGAATTCGAAAGTACCGAACTTCAAATCCTACAACCGGGATTTGGAAACTGTAATTGTGTTCTAAACCGTGTAACCTCTGAAGCCCTCTCGACATGAGTCCAAGATCTAGAAGTGTGCCTGCGCTGCAGCTGCGATGTGGCGGACGATCGCGCCCTTGGGAGGCATGCGCAACCCTGAAAACACGCTTCGTTCGGTTTCTGGGGTTTATAAGTATAGGAACCCCACCACGACGACTCCGATGTTTCAAATACCCGCAACAGAAGTCTGGTGGTCTCTACTCGTGGGCATGTTGGCTCGTATCCGAGGTAGCTGAGTAATCAGCCCCAAATCATGAGCTCGGACACTCCCACACTTAAACCCTCACCCAACTCTGAAGAAGATCTTCGAGCAACACAACTCAGAAGCCCTCAAACGTTATCGGCTTCCACATCAAAACCATCTCCGGGCTTCTACGTGCGATTCCACTTCCTGTGATCTCCGCAATCCTCAACCATGTCAAGCGGCTCCAGCTGGAAAGCTGGAAACCCAGCGGCCTCCCTAAACCCTAAACCCTAAACCCTAAACCCTAAACCCTAAACCCTAAACCCTAAACCCTAAACCCTACAGGTGGGTATCTGGGCACCCTTTTCCAAGCCCTAAGCCCTTAAATCCTAAACCCTTTAACCCTCAACCACGTATACTTCAAGGATCATGGGACTTAGTAAGTAGGGATATGATTAGGGTAACTATATTTGTAACCCCAACTTAAGGGACTTGTATCCTTACTTACTTTAGTCCCAGGACCCTCCAAGTAAATATAATAGTATAGTTCCATGATCCTAAACCCTAAGCCCTAAACCCTAGAAACCCATGGTCCTAAAACCTTGATCTTCCAAATACCTCAAACCCCGGAGAAAGGTCTATGAGGAAAAGCTTTACTAAGATGCAAAGTTCCAGTGGCTTGGCTCCAGACAGCATCTTCGAAGCGCTGGGAACTGATCAGGCGATCGGTTCAGGGGTGAAGTTGGGTTTAGGGTTTAGGTTTAGGGTTTAGGGTTGAGGGTTGAGGGATCCGGGTGTTGCGTTCTAAGGCTGTAGGATTACAGTACTTTGGGATTTCCGACGTAAGTTACGCTGTGCTGGGGCAAAGTCCCACACGCAATCCGTAAGAAACGCGCGTGAATCAAAAGGCGGGGACAGACATCCACCTAGAATCTAGCTAGACCCCCCAAACTATCTAATCTACCTACATACCCACTATTAAGGACCATAAGGGCTCCGTTAAAGCGCAGTTCGGGGGTCCTGGCGTAGACCCAAAACCCTAAACCCTAAACCCAACATCTAAACCCAAACCCTAAACCCTACACCCTAAGCCCCAAAGCATTAACCCCAAACCCTAAACCCTATGCCCTAAACCTTAAACCCTATACCCTAAACCCTAATCTAAACCCCAAACCCTAAACCCAACATCTAAACCCTAAAGCCTACACCCTAAACCCAGTTGGGTGGTCCTTGTCTCCAAGCCTCTAGTCGAACCCCGGCGCCTCAATCCCACCAGCTCGGAAACTGCAGCCCCTCTCTGTTCTGCAAGGCCCTAAGGCTTTAGGGGTTTAGGGGTTTAGGGGTTTAGGGGTTTAGGGTTTAGGGGCTTCAGGGGTTAGGGGCTTAGGGGTTATATAGGGTTTAGGGTCTAGGGTTTAGAGTCTACAATGTGGATCACTTCATGTCTTTGAGGGCCTATACTCTTAGGATGGATACAGTCTCACCTCTATACACTGCCCTAAGGGTCCAAGTACTCTCTGTTATAGGACTTTGGGTCCGTCGTGGGTGCCAAAATCCATGAATGTGAACTACTTGGACCCTTAAGGATGTGGATCACTTCCTGTAATATAGGGCCCGAAAGTTATAAGCTTGGGATGCATGTTAGAACCCTGATCTGCATTGCAACCCTTATCATGGTAGGGGGTTTCTGAATCAAGGGTCTTCATTGACCACAGAGGGCCCCCTCCCCCCCCCCTTAACTCATCGCTGCAGCCCAAACCCACATCACAGAGAGCCTCTCTGTCCCGAGCTGGGCGGCGAAAGCCATCCATTGCGCAGGATTTTCCAGGCCAGGCCGAGGAACAGAGCGGGGGCAGCTGAACTCTAAACCCAAACCCTATAAAACCGTACTCAGGATGTCGAGAGGCTTCTGCTTCAGAAGTTTACCGGAGCGTTTGAGGAATTAAGTCTTGGGGAGCCTTGGGCGTTTCGGGCTTTGACTTTTGGGGCCCGGGTAGGTGTGGGTCGATGCTAGGGTATGTAACGGTGCGTACACGAAATCCAGCAATTGTGGGCTGGGCCGCTGAGGCTTTCGGGTGTAAGTGCTACCTGGACCTAAATACCTTGGTTCGAATGTATGGGAGGAAGCCATACTGGGGAGCCCTATAAACCCTAAACCCTAAAACCCTAAGCGGTCTAGGGTTTGGGGTTTAGGAGTTAAGGAGTTTACGGGTTTGGGGTTTAGCGGTTTAGGATAAAGGGCTTAGGCTGGTCAGGGGTTCGGGGGACTGGGGTTTGACTGTTACGGGGTTTGGCGCCTCAGGTTTGGGGAGGCAGACACCTGACCCTAAACCCTAAACCCTAGACACCTCAAGCCACGAAGGAATAGTCTTCCAGAGCTGCTATAGTGCAACAATGTCATGCTTGCCAAGTAACACAAGGCCTGAAGTGCTAAACTGCATCCACACCTGTACACCGTGTTGTCTTGGTGCTAGAAGCACTTGCTAGGAGTATCCCCGCGCCTACATCCATTGGTAGTATCTACAAGTATTCTCACCGTTATTATTAATATAGGGGCCTTAATAATTTAGAATATAGGGGTTTGGGGCCGATTATAATATAGTTATAATAAGGAACCCCCAAAATAGTATTGGGAATTATTTGGGCCCCTACATTGCCAGCCCCTACGCTTCGGGCGGTGTGTCCGATGCTTGATGCTGCTTACCGAGCCCCTGGGCCTTGAAGAGGTCCCGAAGACAACAGCACTTGGAGGTTCAGGGTTTAGGGTTTAGGGTTTAGGGTTGTTTAGGGTTTAGGGTTTAGGGGGTAAGTAAGCAGTATAGCTACCTAAATATAACCCCAGATACGAAGTCCCATGATCGTCTAAGTATCGAGTTTAGGGTCTAGGGTGGTTTCCATGCAGAGATCTACGGCTCTTGGGGTAAAGCAGGAGATACTTGCAGGTGTAATTCCAGCCTGCTGCTTGGCTTAACTCGTAATAGCAGGGCCTCAATGCTGACAAAACGGTTTTGGGACAAAATAACCTGCTGCCATGATCGAACCTCTGTATTTGTCAGGTTCGATGCGGTGCTTCAATCCCTAAACAACACAGAGCTCAAACACTGCTGCATTTTGGGCATCATACAGTCTTGCCACGGGTTTCGGCTCTATAGGATTCAGGGTTTAGGATTTAGTGTTCAGGATAATTAGGTGAGAAGTCCAGGACTACAGGATAGTGTCCACCAGCCATAGTATACACTTTGGCAATGGCATGCCGCGACGTCTCTTGAGGCCAAGGAAAGCAGTGTTTGAGCACTTAAACCCCAAACCCCCAAACCCAGCGACACTGTCCGCCTGGCTATTTCGCGGTCCAGCTCCTGCGGCAGGAATTGCTAGGCTTCCGGGTTTAGTGTTTTGGGTTTGGGGTTTTCCTTAAGAACCTAAACCCACTTTTTTGTAGGTTTTTATTATAAACCCTAATATGGGATTTATAGGGACCCTACAAAAAAGTAGGTTTTGGGTTCCTAAGGTTGGGTAGCTGGGGTTTTGGGCCCTAAACCCTAAACCCTAAACACTAAACCCGTAGCGTCATGAAAAATCAAGCCTCTTTGTCGCCTCTACTTGTAGCATGGCTGGGAGTTTAAAGGTTTGTGGTTTACGGCGTAGAGTTTGGGATTTAATGGTTTAGGGTTTAGGGTTTAGGGTTTAGGCATTTAAAGCTTAGGGATTCGGGCTCTACGGGTTAAGGAGGTTAGGCTTTAGGGCTTGGTGTCATAAGTGCCATAGAAAGCAGCACAGGGCACTTTGGCAATGAAAGAATGCACTGTTCGATAAGCTTCACTACGAGGGCGGTGCAGGGTGCGAAGCTTCCGGATCAGAGACAGTTACAAGAAATCCGCACCAATGCCTTTGAACAACTTGTCTCTCCGTCGACGTGTCCAAGACCGATGAGGCAAGCATTGAAGGTTGTTAAGTTTCAGATCCTTTTCATAGCATTCCCGGTGTTGTGGCTCGTTGTCCTCAGTCTCCAAAAATTCTCAGAAACAGGTCAAAGATGGTCACAGCAACAATCAAGCACTGTTGGGGCCAACACACCTAGTACCTGGGTATTTAAAGACCCTATGAGAAACCCTCTAACATCCTTATTACAGCATCTTGTAAACCCTTCGTACATCTTTCTCTCCAAAACCTACAAGCCCCTTAACCCTAAGGGTCCATGTACCTAAATAGTATATACTTTGGCCTTAAAGTAGTCCCTGTTTGGGTACTTTGAGGCCAAAGTATCTACTATTGGGGCACATGGACCCTTAGGGTTAAGGGGGGTCCCGAGGGTTACGCTCGAGCTCCTCATCTTTCCGCCTCTTCTCCTCCGCCGCAGCTGCCTGGCTCCCAGTTCCCTTACACAGAGGGTCCAAAGATACGACCATTGTGGAATTAGATTTAGGGTGTAGGGTTTAAGGGTTTAGGGTTTAGGCTTTAGGGTTTAGGGTTTAGGGATTTAGGCCCTTAAAGACCATTCTAATCATGGTTTTTGGGGGTCGAATTCCAGAAAGTAGTGTCTATGGAGCCTCTTGTCTATGGGCTCTCTTTAGGGTCTCTGAGGGCTTTAGAGCTTTTGGGTCTTGGGACTTTACGGATTAGGGTGTCTTAGGGCTCAGGGCTCTCTGGGTCACCCATGCACCCATATAGTGTACATGAACACAGAAGTATGCGTATACATATGCTATGCATATATACTCACAGACACACACACACATACACACAAACAAATTCAAACGCAAACACAAACAGACAAACAATGAAAAAACAAGCAAACAAACAAACAAACAAACAAACAAACAACATAAACCAACATCACAACAAACAAGCAATCAAGCAAAGGCAGGCACAAACAAACACAACGGACACACACACACACAAACAAACAACAAACAAACAAACAAACAAACAAACAAACAAACAAACAAACACAGACACACACAAACACACGAGCGCACAAACACACACACACATATGTACATACGTACATACATACATACATACATACATACATACATACATACATACATACATACATACATACATTGCATTACATGAGTACACACAGAAAGTCATACGGACATACAGACATGCATACATATCTACATATTTTATATACATATTAAAAAGTATAAACAATTAGTGGCCCGACGTCTGTACCCTTTGGGGTAATCCTTGGATAAAAGTTTATCAGGAAGTAAACCTTTACAATTTTACGGAATACCCTCACCCGAACCAACCCTATAAACCCAAAATCCTGACACCCTAAACCCAACCCCTATTGGGCTTCCTGCGAACTATCAGCTAAAGCCAACAATACACGTGATAGGACTGGTTAAAAAAAATAAGGTAGATGAAAGCCGGGCCTCCTCGCGGCGCCTGCGTTCTTCGGCCGCAGCCTCGTAGAAAGCTTGGGCTTAGCTTCAAGGCGTATAGGCTTGGGGTTTTATTTAAACGCTTTAAGAACTAACCTCAAGGGTCCCAGGGACCCATTATCGGGTATTTTGGTTACGGATAGTAGTAGTCTAACTTTATACTTGGGAGAATATACGAATATTTGGCACTTGGACCCTCAGGGTAAGAACAGGTAGACTAAACAGGCTCAGAATTTAGGCTGTCTAGGGCGTAGAAAGTTTAAGGTCAAGGGGTTTGTATGCGGGATACACGATTTGCGGATTTGGGCCTAGGATTTGGTTTACAGTTCTAAGGATTTGTGGATTACCTGCATCCCCGCCTAATTTGCCTTGCCTCTACGTGACTACATGGGGTCTCGTCCCTGAACCTCAAACACTCACCGTAGGCATTCAGCCTTAAACTTATAAGTAAACACGACATCGTACAGCAATTCAGGCTCTAGGTGCGACACACTGGGCTGGTCTCGACAGACACATAAGCACACTAATATGCGTTTAACCATTAGCATAGGGTTAACGTCTAGGCGAGCAAAGATGAGCAGAGTGACAGGTGCACCCTCTTGAATGAAGACCCTCAGAGCGAACTAAGCTAACGATGCGATTTTCTGTATGAATCATGGTACCGAAGTCCTGGTACAGGAACGTCACCTGGAGTGGGGCATCTACGGGCATGCGAAGAAGCTTTGCGCAATTCACACACGGTTCATCAGAGCTCCACCTCGGTGCAACGATGATTATCTGAAAGAATTTTCAAGCAGTTGTTTCTGCTGAAATTGTTCAGGAAGAGCCTGAAAGCTTTGCAGGCGCTTAGCTCCTGCATTGAAGCGAAGAATAGGCCTTCAACTTGCAGTTCCCTGGCATTACGCTGTGTGTACACCTCCAGGAGCTCAGCGCGAACACAGTCAACAAGCGATTCAAGCTACCTACGGTATGCTGTCGGCGGATCATTAAAAATCACATTACATGCATGGCATCTGCCTCCGCATGTTGATTTTATCACAATGATTTCGGGCAAGATGGTGCGCATTGATGCTACGATCAAGCAACAAGCTTGCCACCACATCCGTAGCAATTTTCGCAGCAAGAGTCGCACGGTGCCGGCCCGACGTACATTGCAACGCCAAGAAAGCTGCTGGAGGCCTCAAGCAGTCAACCAATAATTTGCAGATGGCATCGCCAAACTCAGGCATCTGTGTGAGTGTCTGCACCGTCCTAACATGCAATCCCAAGTGACCCAGTAAGCTCTTGTCGTCGGCGGCGTTGTAGATGATATGGCGAAGATCCTTGCCCAGAGGGTCCTGATACCTTTAGGGGCGTTAACAGCTGTGGGGGCGTCGGGTTCAGAAGCTTGAGGGCCCAGGCATCGGACCCCTCCCCAGGAGGGCCCCTAACAAACCCCAAGATCTACAGTCTTGCAGCCACGATGAGTCAATCTCGAACATATACTACAACATCACGGTATACACTATACACACCATCGCTGTCTAAAGTGATTGCAAAGATAACAGCAGGGCATCCACGATTATAACACCGATTATTGTCGCTATATCCCATGTCCCGACGACTCTTAAACTTTATCCGCCGGCCATAAAGATCGCGAAGCATCCGGCGAAGCGGCGCAGCTCCCATTCGCGAGCCGCGAGCTGGAAGCTCAGAGGGGGGTTGGGTTACATATAGTATATACATAAAGTTATGGATAGGCCTAGAGGGTAAATAGAACCGTTGTAAAACTACCGACAACCCCATCCCTAAGCTTTGGCTCAAACAAGCCTGATGGCTCATTTGAAAAACATTCGTGCTTCGAGCGAAAGAGTCAACTAGGAAATATTGCGCTCAATTCGCCTCAAGCGAAAGAACAGCAGTGTGCAATACCTTTGTAACGTTCGGGCTGTCATCGTCGATCGGTGTGTTCGCCGGCTAACTCTACCGATGTATCCTATCCAGCTCTCTGCGGCCATCAAGGAATAGTAGCTGGGGTTCAATCGCTGCTCTTTGCAATCCCGACACATGTGGTAAACAAAAATGGTGTTTTGGCTGCATGATCTCTGTTCCGGTCCTCTTTGATGATTCACGATGCAAGTAGCTGTACAGCCGCAGGTGTCGCATCCCAGAACTGTACAGTTCAAGCGATTGCTCTTCGCTCAACAACAACGGATATTCGTCCATTTTCCGGAGGGTGTCCACGTAGGCAAATATGCATGCACCGACAGCTTTGTCTGTGGGGGTTGCATCCGCTCGCGCTGCCAACTCGCCAGTCGCCGTGGCCAGCCAAAACGATATCATCTTGGATTGCGCTGCCTTGGAAGCCAGGCATGGGTAGATAACCCGATACCTGCGAGACAATCTTGCAGGAGTAAACCGTGGCTGAGAGCACTGAAGCTTGTTCTGTTTCACCCATCGCAAAAACGCTGCATGTGCCTTTCGAAGCATGTCGGACATGATGTGCTCGTATATTCCGCGCTGCGGCCACGGAGCGAAGTAGGACCGCTCGCATAAATACGTGAGACATGAACCTCAGCGTAAGCCGAAAAAACTCCAGCTTTCCCTAATGCATGCTGTAGCTTTTCCGTCCAATAAATTACCTATAAAAGCACGAGCTTATTACAGCATCTTAGAGCTATATTATAGTTCTAAGCCTAGCTCCAAACCCTATGGTGCACAACCACTAATCATGCAGACCAGGGTTGCGGCAGATGCACGATGGTCCTCAAAGAATACAAAAGAAACACGTAGGGCCGACTGTAAGCAAGGATTCCGTTGGTGTTCTTGCCAGTGCCCAGCAATTGGCCATGGCAGGGGTCATGTAGAAATCGGAGAAGGTTGACACCATCCAGTTCGAAAAGCGGAGATCCTGGGAACGGCTGGCAAGCTGATAGGTTCATATTGGATGTTTGGACAAAACAGTACTACACATGGGAAACATGATAACGGTATTAATTAACGCATCTTGGATACGTGTCTCCGGCGTGGTACTTTGCATGTAATCTTGGCGGGTAACCTGTGTAGCTCGGTAAGCAGCTGTCTCCCTGAAGTCAGCCAGAGTCATAGCTACGTTGTCATCCGTTTTGACACATTCACACAAATCACATATGCGATTCTTCCGAAAGTTGTGCAACCCGTAACGGTCTGTAATGAACTTCAGGTCCCCCTGTGTAGAGGAGTAGGTCCATCTCCAACCTGCAGAACACCAGTTGAAGCTTGTCTCTTCGAACATATACCGTAGTCTGGGCACCAGCGCCTTGAGAATGTCATCAAAAGTGTTTTCTGTAGAGTTGTGTTCGGAGAATGCAGTGAAGAGATAATAGCGCTCCAAGGCCGGGTTACCATAGGCCAGGTCCGATCCAAAGCCAAGGACGCAAATGGAGCCATTTTCGGCATTCCTGAAAGCATTGATCTCATCGCCATATAAGCAGAACGGCAGAAGACGCTTCTTGTTGGCCGCTTGACGGCCAGGGTGGTCGTCAAACCATCGACAATGCTGCTCCACGTGTTTCCAGTAGGATTCAATCTCGCTGGGTCGCGGTGCGAAGCAACGCTGAAACACGCCCTCTCCACGAGCATAAAGAGCAGAGGCCAGTTTGTCCGGCCAGATGACCGGTAACGATCCCCAAACTTCTCGGCCATCCTTGTGGTCCCACAAGCGAACTTTGATATGATCTATATCCACATCTACGGCATTGCTGACACTCCGAATAACTCGGTGCAAATCCCTTTCGCAGTTAGACGTGTGCTTGCCTGCTGTGCCACACTGAGAAATTCGTTGCACCAAATCTTTGGGGGGCACAGTGCCAGCACGTTGCTTGCACCAGGAAACAGCAGACTCAGCGATTTCTCTCACCTCCGGCACGGAACAGAAAGCTCAAACACAAGGGTCGATTCAGGAGGATATCGGTCGCTGATGCATGTTCTCGATTACATTTAAATCATCGATAATAAGAAAAAGCGCGTGCAAACAAAACGGTTTATGTACTGTTCCAGACTGAGGCTCATGAAGGGCTGAACACCGTCCATTTGCAAAATCCTCCAGGAGCTTTTCCCCGAAACCAACATCCTCGCATACAGAACTGTAGGTAAGTAATGCACTCCACAGCTTATATACTAAGGGATGGCTACGAAAGGGTTATAGGATTGCAAAAATACGTGCAAGATTCCCTAAATATGGTTTGCCTAGGATTCTGAGTTCCTAAAAAATATAGGGTTTAGGGTTCCTATACAACGGCGTTTAGGGTTATCCCGAAGCGATCCTGGCTCCCGAGGCGTTGCCTCTTCGACTCACGATCTTCTGCTGGACAAGGTTCCTCGACACGTGTTTGGGTATTTTCACATATGTAAATGGTAGCTCGGGTCTAGAATAGGGTGGTTTATGGGTTTATTATTTCGGGTAATCCATGTAAACCATCCATGTATGTAGGTGTGTATCCATAGATAAATAAAGAAATAGATGCATAAAAGCTTATGTGTATATATATATATATGTATATAAATATATATGGATGGTTTACATATAAGGGGGAATTGGTTTAAGGATGTTCATGGTCACTACCCCAGCCCTAGGATTGTAGTCCTCGTGCAACCGCTTGGTGAAATGAGATTGGCGACCTGCATGGGGATAGTTCTCACTGACTGATTGGCTTGATTAGTTGACTGCATCCCATGCGAGCTGCTGCTGTAGCTCCGTGCACTTTTTTCATCAAGACGCTTCCGGCTTTGATTGCAGGTGAACCCCACGTGTAATTAGGACATAGCCCGTGTCTGTAACACGGGTTCCCCGAAAGCATCTGAGCGGATCCTGTTGCTAGCAACTATGGTCCTGTAGGAGCCTTAAGTTAGCTATAAACGGGATTTCAAATGTTCTTGCAATGTGGCGGTCTTCATAGCTGCTAGCTGCTAGGGATCCACTGCATGCTGCAACCCTGCGGCACACATGTGTGGCGCATCATCAGCATGATCATCATGAGCAACCTAGCACATTCAGCTAGCACCGGCAGAGGCATTGCCTTTGCCAGTCTTGGGTTCCTTGGGCTTTCGGCAAACATTGGTCGCAATTCGGGCATCCTCTTCGTAGAGCTGCAGCCTTTCCACAGCCAGGCGGGCGCCTGCGTCGACTTGCATCTCATCGATGGTGGCGCGAGCCTGGAGGAGGAGGTATGGGTAGGTTGTATGTGTGATATATTGTTATTATCTTAAGGTTGGGAGGGTTATAGGAGGCCCAAAAAGATAATACATAAACAGTTTTTAGGAATTCCAGGAATTAGGGTACCACTATTTAAAATTATAGGGGTCCTTATAATCAGTATCCTATGTTTGGGACCCAGGATGAAGTCCCTTGATTTCCTGAAGCTCCAATTTACATAAGTATGTATGTTTGTAGTGATGTGTGTATATATACATATTGAGTGTGTATCTATACACACACAACAGTGCATGACCTTTCATGCGCATTATTTTCTTGCAATGACATACCCTATTACAGGGGGTGCAGGTATTGCTAGATTCGCCGGGAAGGGTGATACGTGCAACTGTAAAAAAGTTTGATCGGTTATATCGGATCATAACTATAGTTGGGCTCCCAGGCTTCCTAAGAACATTAGGCGGCTTGCATCACATGCAGCTCAGTGACTCGGAGCATCGATTCGATTTGGTGATAGGAAGTCTGCAAATCTCCGGCGTGAGTCTGCATGGATTGGCCTCGATGGCCCATGTGCGCCTATCTGCTATAAGCCTTTGCGTGTGACAATCCAGAGATTAAGCCCAGCTACTCAGGGAAGCTTGGTGCTCGAACTTGTGCAGCTTCACCGGCCACATCTTGGCCTCTGCAAGCTTCGACTCCAATCGGTCGCGCAGCCACTCAGTCCTCGGCCACAGATCCTCAGGCATCCTTAGTGGATGGTCAGCTAGGAACGGATGCTCATGATGGACGAGCCTTATAATTATTTAATGCTCACGTTGCATTTAAGACTCTCCTTGGAAGCCTTGCGCTGGATGATTTCCCCGTCGCCCTTCTCCCCATTCTTGTTCTTTCCTTTTCCCTTTCCCTTTCCCTTTGGCTTTCCCTCTCCCTTCCCATTGCCCTCAGCAGGCAGATCACAGGAACGGGAGCTCGGCAAGCCCAAGCAGCCATGATTGCCATTGCCCGGCGTGAGCATCGGCGTAGCACAAGTAGCAGCAGGAGTGTCATCCCAGCCACCGAAGTCCTGAGCTGCCTGGGCAATGCAAGTAAACGAAAGATGGGGTGGGTTCTCGCGGCTCTATTTGCGACTACTGCTAATTAATGAATATAAGTCTGCAGTTGCTGTTGGCTGTCGCGGGTTTGTGGGCTGACAGTTGGCGCGGTTGTTGTATTTGGGGTGGTACTAGGGTTCGGGCTTTATGTTGGCATAAGGCATTATTTATATCTAGGGGTGTTCGGGGTATCTGGGGTTTGTAACGAGTTTGGGATAGGCCTACGACTGTGGAGTAATATGTGGTGCAAAACATAAAACACACTCTCATCAGCCAGCAGAGTATTCGATGAAGCTTAACGAATCGTCACATTGAAACATGCTGGGCATCTATGCAGCACTAGCAGACACATGCCCCGGCAGATAGAAGAGAGCATCCACAGATAGGGCCATAGAAATATTTTAGGGCATTAATCATTGGTTTTAGGGTTTAAGGGTATACATGTAGGAAATGGGCACATAGAAGCCGCCTGCGAGGACGCGTCCATGTTGACTTGGAGCTCCCACTGCGTCTTGTCAGAAACTTCCTCCTCGTGGATCTGCGTTAGATCAACCATGACCTCGCAGAAGCCACGTAGTTATGTCGTTTACAATTTCTGAGAGCCAGCTAGGAGAGTGCTGCCGTGCATGAGTTGGGCCCCCAACGTAGTAAAGGATCATAGAGGAGTCATCAGGGAGGTCCGGGTGATGTCGCCAGTGCCCAGCAGAAACCTTAGCATCAATGATGCTGTGGACGATGTTGTCATCGCCATAAAGCTGGCGAAGCTGATGCTTCGTCCTCCAGCCTAAGCAGCAGATCATCTACGTGACAGTAGCAGAACCTGTGTCTGCCGAGAATCCCATCTTCTTCCTGCCCTTGTCGGTCTCGGTCTTCGTCCGGGTGAAGGACACTTGGAGCCTCGGGATGAATGTTTGAAGAAGGGTGAAACAATCTATCGAAAATACAATCTCCAGGATTGTTTAGCATGTGCTTCGAGATATGGGATGTGTAGCCGGGGTGCTTGGACCAGTCGCCACCGGCAGAAAGAAATTTGTTGAACAACGCAGTCTTGCTCGACTTGCTCTTCGCTTGTACTGCCGTGTGCCAAGCATCTTTGATTTCTTTGGGGACGCACGTCACGCCCTCGCTGGTGACTCCCCTTGCACATCATGCGCTCTCTCTCACACTCACTCACTCACCCACTCACCCACTCACTCACTCACTCACTCACACAACCACACAACCACACAACCACACACGCACACAAACACCCCTCCCGGGACCTCTTGAAGGTAGCATAGAGGCGCTGCCGATCGGTGTAGCCGGTCGGGGTCACGGCAACTGCCTGTAGGTTTAGAAGATGCTTGGAAACCGATGCTGCTTTAAGAAATTTGAGTGCAGAGGGTTTACAGGGTCAGGGCTTCAAGAACTATGGCTAACCCTATCCCGGCCCTATCCCTATATTACCAATCTCTATCGACCCTGTGTTCAATTAAACCTATGAGGGCTTGTAACCTATGAGGGTTTGCAGGGCTTGTAGTATATATATATATATATATATAATCTATCTATAGAAGGCCGCTGTAGGGTTTATTAAACGACACCCCCAAACCCTATAAACCATGAACCCTAAAAACACCCTAACGATAACCCCAAGGTCCCGGCTCAAGCCTAAGGGCCCTGGCTCAAGCCTCAAGGCTTTCCCCCTCAAACGTCTCACATCCTGCAGCGATCAACCCGGGCCTGCGGGCTCACGTTAATCTGCATGTTTGCTGGCAAGGATTTCTCTGTGCCCGGGGGGGGGGCAGGTTTACAACCGATTCAGCGGGTGCCGGGGTTGCAGCCGGAGCTGCAGTGGGCAGACCTGCCGGGGTTGCAATCGGAGCAACCGGAGCTGCAGCGGGTGGATTTGCCGGGGTTGCGACCGTGGCTGCAGCGGGTGGATTTGCCGGGGTTGCAACCGGAGCTGCACCTGCCGGCGTTGCAACCGGAGCTGCATTGAGCGGAGCTGTCGGAGGAACGGGAGGAATCGGAACCGGAGTTGCAGTGGATTCGGCAGCGGATGGACCTGTCGGGTTTGCAGCCGGAGCTGCAGCGGGTGGGCCTGCCTTTGCAACCTGGATCGCAACATTCTGCGGCGGCGTTGCGACGGCGTTGCCTGCAACAACTGGAGCTGGGGGGCAAGCCGCAAGGGAGGGCACGGTAACAAGAGCTGGGGCCTTTGCGAGCTGGGCATCAGTCTCCGTCGCCGTTGCGACTGCTTTGCTTGCAGCAACAGGTGGGCAAGCTGCAAGGGAAGGCACTTTGGGCAATGATGCCGGGGGTGGGCTTGAAGGCTTCGGCGATACGGGGCTGGCAGCCTTCACGGCAGTACTGGGCTTGGGAACACAGGGCGCCTTGCTTGGAACCACTACTGGCTTGGCACGCTCAACCTTGGCAGAATCTTCTGGTTTCACCTTGGAATCCTCGGCAGCTTCGGGCTCGGAAGCTTGTGGCACCTTGGAACCTGGAACCTCCCCAGCTTGCTCCGGACCTGGAACCTTGGCAGCTTCCTCGGAGCCTGCAACCTCGGAAGCTTTCGGCGGGGAAGCTGGCTCAACAGCTTTGGGCGGGGTGGAACCTGTGGAATCTGTTGGCTCAGGGGAATTTGTTGGCTCGGCTTCGGCTTTGGGTGCGTGGGAAGCTGTTGGCTCGGCAGCTTTGGGTGCGGGGGTCCCATGACGATCACCTGGGACCGCCAACTGAAGATTTGTAGGCACCCAAAGAAACAGAGTACCGTCGACGACCCTGTACTCACCAGCCAAGAGCTTCTGGTTGCAGAAGTCATCGAGCCCGATGTCCGGGTGGTTCTCTTTGATCTCTGCCATCCCCACCCATTCATGAGGAATCTCGTTGAGATCAGCCTCTGGCGTAGGCGTAGACACTCCCGCATTCTTCTTCTCCACTTCGGTAAGCGGTGTCTTCGCACACACCCGCAGCCGACGAGTGGGCACGGGTGCTGGTGGGGTAACCAGCACAGGCTGAGCCGGCTTGGGACTCGGAGTCTGCAGGTTGATCTCACCATCCACCTTGCACTGCTTGAGAGGGGCTGCCTTGGGCACGGGCGGGAGCGAACTTGGGCAAGCTTTGCTTGCAGCCGGAGCGCTGCCACAGGGAGGGGATGCCCGTTTTCGATGCATAACAGGATCAGCCTTGGGAGGAGCGGCGGCACCCTCCTGCTTGAGGGAGGGCCCTGGCACAGGAGCTTTCGATCGCTCTTCCTTGCACGGTGCACTCTTGCATGCAGAAGGGCAAGCTTTCTTGGTGGGTCGCCGGGCCGCTTCGAGACTCGCGCTGCTGTCTCCTCTGCTGCCCTCGGACAAAAAGCTAGCCCCAACATGCAGATCCTTAGGCGGGGGGGCTTGGCCCGCCGGCGATGCCTTGTCGAAAAGGTTGCACGGGCTGACTCCACCAGCCTCATACTCGACGGTAGTCTGGGTGTCCATATGGCGAGGTCTCCGGTCCTGCAGCTTTCAGTTCGAGACCGCTCGGCGAAAAAACCCTCTATAAAATTCCCACGCACAGCCATCCCTTTAAATCCTCTGTAGTCGGCCATACAGACTGCTCGGCTAAAAAAACCCTCTATAAAATTCCCATGCACAGCCATCCCTAGAAATCCTCTGTAGTCGGGGATTGATAAGATCGCTTCACGGCCGGGGTCACAAAGTGCTCCGGCGACAGGACTTCCTCATCGTCATCAATGACGATGGCCCCGATGGCCTTGAGGGGGGGCTGGCATGGTTAGGGTTTTAGGGGTTATCGGGTACCAGCTAGCTACAAGGATTACCAGGCAACTTATCTCGTGGGAATTCAAACCACATGTGGCTATACCATCATATAGCTGCCTTTCCCGTAGGACTGACAGTTAATGCTAGCCTGTCTTCGATCCAACCACAGGACGGAGGCTGCAAAATAGTCAGTACCTGTAAACAGTGTATTACTCCTATAGTCTCCATTGTATAGTTCCGTAATTGTTTGGATTACCTTATAGCTTCTTAGTTATAACTATATTCATGGTTAACCCAAAAAAAGAACTATACAATGGAGACTATATAGGTAGTCCCCCTGAAGCCATCGGGGTTTTAGGCATGTGCGGTTTGACGGGGTTTTATGACTACAGGGTTTTGCCGCTGGTATCTTGCATGAAAACTTAAGGATCCCTAAGATATTTGTGCCTGGGGTCAGGATCTTAATCCCAACTCTGGAACCTATGTTACCGAAAGATACGAGCCTCTGGCTTTCCAGGTTGCCTACATTATTTATATATATATATATATATAACAGGGCGATAAGTTCGGGCTACCTGTCCTACATGTAGGGTGAAAAGAGATACTTCTGCGGAGGAATAAGCGGGTTTGTGAGCGCACAGGTGTAACGCAGATTGGGGTAGGCTAGTTTGGGGTTACATTAGGCCCCAAGGCTGCGCCTCCTGAGCAGCAAGCTCGGCCTTCGCTTCCCCCATTGCAATGTTTGCGGCTAAGCTTCGGAACTTCTCACTATAACTCAAGATGAACTGCTGCAACATCCAGGCACGATCAAAGATCAATGCTTGCAAGCGGACCAGCAATATGGCACAAAAGCCCTACATATATGGCCAAATACCACCTGACGCTTTCTGACGCCTTCTAACGTGAGGGTGCCTGGGTCCAGGGCACAGCTGAGGGGATAGGAGGGGTCCAAAATCAGGTTTCTGACGCTTTGCGACGCCCCTCTTTGTTTTATACAAGGATGGCACCTGACGCTTTTTGACGCTTTTTAACTGTGGGGGGGCTGGGCCACAACACAGCTTCAGGGCCCATGAGGCACCACAGCCACGATTAACGACGCATTTCTGACGCTAGCTTTTCGGGGCTGTTTCTTCATCATGGATGTGTACCGAGCAAACCGACACAATCACGATCGTGAGTGTTCATTAAAGGTCCCCACTCCTGGATTTCTACAGTCGCTCACCACGATACAATGCGGCAGAGGCTCTAGCTACATAGACACTGGGGCCATAAGAGGTGTGTCGCCGTGTATACATCATAACTATGTGTTGTTTGTGTGCCGACAGGTGGTTTTGGCTTTGGGGCCGATAGGGGTGGGTGCTTAAGTAGGGCTAGGCTTAGAACGATAGCTAGATTGTTGGATTTAGCATTCATAAGGTGGGTGCTTGTAGGGCTACATTGTCGGATTTAGCACTCATAAGGGTGTCTGTCTGCCTGTCTGTCGTATAATGTCGTATATGTATGTATGTATGTA